GTCAGGTTGATTTTCATCAACTTAAAAAGTTAACTTTTGTAGGGTTCTTAAAAAGCGACTTCAAAAGAAAAGATTGCCTATCGTTTTTAACGTTAAATTTTAATTTTAGTTATCTAATAGATGTTTTAGTTTATTTTTATTGTTTTAATTAAACATTTTGATCTTCTCAAAAGAAAAAATCAAACATTTTGATTGTTTACTTTTTTTTATTCATTGATTGTTTGCTTTTATATTTATGAAAATAAGTTTATTTAAACACTTATAATTAAAAAATACTAAGACCTTTTCATTCTATCATTTTATTTTTATTTATAAATACTCTATATTTTATGTTTTCGGAAAAGACAACTTCGACAGTTAATAATATTTTTTATTTAAATATTGAATATTAATGCCTTTTATTCGTCTGAAGAACCGCTTAAACTTTTTTAAATATATATTTTTTTAATCCTGCTGGTAAATATTATTTTAAAACATTATATATATATATATATATATATATATATATATATATATACAAACATTAGCTAACTTGAAAATCTTTCACAAGGACAATCATGACCTGCCAAATACACATGTGAGTGTTATCGGAGCGGGGTAGGCACCGGGATGGCCATCCCGTAACTACAAACCTTTCCGTTTAATTTCACTAAAATTTCATAGATTAAATTGTTACATTTTAATAAAATATGTGGATCAAGTGTATTCTTTTAACCTTTTTAATTAATTCATCCATTGCTAAATTTAATCATAAAATCTTAATTAATTTCACTAAAATTCAACCACAAACTTGAATAAATAATAATTTTAATATCTTCCCTGAATTCCGTCGGCGATAATTTTTCAGGCAAAGCGGTTTAATAAAAAAATTATTTTTAATTTTATATTTTTCAAAATTAAACTCTCTTGAATCTATCTTTTTAAAAAAATGTTTTCGAAACCTTAAAAAAAAAAACTTTCAAAAATCTGTTTTGTTTTTTAAATGTTACCTGCCAATTCCAATTTTATAATTTATATTAAATGGGCTTAGCTCGGTATTAGCACCTATTTTCAACCATGAAGTTGTGAGTTCGAATGCTTCCACTCCCACACATTGTACTAAAAAAAATCGAGCATGGTGTAATAGACAAGACAACTATTAGCATCTTAAACGTTCAACTTTCTATTCTATAGTTGTTGTACGAAAAAAATATTATATATATTTAATGGAAAAAATGGAATTTTCTTTTAGAAAAACATAAATGGAATTGGAAAAAGCACAAACACATGTGAGAAGTTAATCCATCAAAAACAAAACATGTGACACTTTCAAAATCATAGGCTTCACTTAAATTCAAATTTCATCGCGGTGCCCTTAGGCTAGCTCATAGTACTAGCCTTGTCAATAATGATGTAACATGAAGGTTGTGCGACAACCAACTCCAACTGATATTGATGGGAAATTGATTAAAGTCGGTAGAGAATAGACTTGTAGCATTCAATGAAATACCATAGTAACCACGTATAATAACGAATTTAAGTCTCGTTTTGATATTCAAATACATATATTTTAGTCTTTGAATTAAAAAAAAAAAAAACTATACTCGAATTGTAGACCGTGAACCAAATATCTTATCTACTAAGTGGGTTCATATTTATTTCAATTATATTTAACGCGCGTGTGAAACGTTTTAGACGCATGTGGTCCCACCATCGTGCTGGGGGTTGAGTGTGTCCTTTCAAAGTTTACTTTCCTTTTAACATTTACGTTGAGGAAAAAAAACACATGATATATGAATGAACCTACTCCCAGCACATGATTCCAAAATTTCCACTAAAAAAAATATAACGAAAACAAAAAGGAATATGAATGTTTTTTTTTTCATCCGTGTATATATACTGCAAGAAACACATACGATATACGTGAAATTTTATAGTTTTTATTTTAATATTCAAAAATAAAAAATTACGTAAGAAAAATTTCTAGAAAACATATTTTTTTTTCTAAACATTATGCATAAAAGAAAATAAAATTTCGTTTTGATTTCTTATTTTAATCATTGAAAAAGAAAATGAAAAAAAAAACACGGCAAGCATGTGATCTCTTAATTAAGCTTTTTTAATAAATTATTTATATATTGCAGGTAATCAAATATTCTTTAAAATAACAATTATTAACATTTTAGGGAAAAAAACTAAAAGACAATCTAATTAAAATATAAGAAAACACAAGACATTGACTAAAGGAGAAAAACGTAACGAAAAAGAAAATAAGTTCAAGTTTTGATGAAGAAAAAGTTAGAAATAATAAGAAAAAACTCTTTATATAGTTGGTGAAAATAAAAAAGTTACGAAACTTTTGAAATTACTTATTAATTATAATTGAAAATAAGTTATAATTTTTTTAATTAATTTATAGAAATCAAGTGGCAAAACTATAAATATTCTAACATTTTGTGGGGAGAGTTTTTTAGAGAGAATTAATTTGAGAAAAGTGGAATTTGTAAAATTGAAAATAAAATATTTTGAAAGAAATAAAATAATAACAATAAAATCGAGAGAAGTGGCGTAGAAGAGAAAAAGAAGGAAGGCATGAGAGAGACTAGTTCACACCGACCAAATTATCCCTAAAATAGCAAAATAGGGGAAAAAGTTTTGTTTTTATACCTAGAATATATATATGTATATATAAAGAGGGTTTTATTTTTAAGGAAAACTTCAATTTTAACGCGACTCGGTTAAGTGAGTCAATTTTAACCGTATCGAGGCTACTACCTCCCAAACTAAATTTGAAAATTCCATGTGAACAAATCAATATTATAGGAATATTCCAACTTAGGAAACACTAGTGGCAGATTTAGGATTAAGATTTTATGTCAATCAACCACAAATACATATCAACATGATCGGAAACATATCAATTTTAACCGTGAATTTAGTAATGTATATTGATTTTTATCCTAAATTTTAAATTTCATTAAATTGCCTCTCAAGTGTTGTAATATTCACTAAAAACTTTTAAAAAGTGTTACAAATTTTACCTTTGGATATATTTCCATTTGAAATTTTGTTGGAAAAAATATTCTAATAAATATCAAATGAGTTATAAAACATATTCTCATAGGTGCCAAATGAGTTATAATCCAACTTAATTTGAGAAAGCACCTTGAAATTGCAATCATTTGGGTGATAATTACTTAATCTCAATGTTTATGGGTGATGAATTCAAATTGATTAAAAGAAATGATGGCTTGCAAATATAGTAAAAAAATTAATAGTTAATCGTAAATATAGCAATCACTTCTCTAATTTGTAGATATAGCAATCAGTAATAGAAGTCTATCCTTAAAAAAAAAAGAAGGAAAAGTCGATTATACTTTTCACGTTTATATACTTAATGTCAGTGACAAACTAGTATATCTATTATATAAGTGATATATCTAAAATGAAGTAGAGATCGATCACTATATATTTAGTATGACTGATACTTCATATTAGGTATATTAACCTTATTATTGATCAGTATACTTGATATTAGATATATCGGTGGTATAACTATAAAAATTTTAGAATAATAGAATAATAAACACTACAAATTATCCCACAATATCTAAGATGCAAGACATTGCGAGATAAAAAAATCATCTAAAATGTGAGATATTGCCCATAAAAACCATCTAATAATGCGAGATATTGTGAGATAAAAGTAATGTAGGATGTTAGATATTGCGAGATGTAACCTCTACGGCAACATGTAGAAAAAGAAAACAAAACTTAAAGTTAATAAAGAACTCAAATTGACAACAACAAAAAATGATAAGAATACTCAAATAAATGACAGAAAATGGAATAAGTTACTAAATAAAGAGAAGAGTAAGAAAAACAAAAATAGATACCAAAAAACGTAAAATCTTTTCCAAGATGTGATATTGAGACATGAGAACAAAAGAGGCTAGAAGTTTAAGGATGTGTAATGGCGAGAGATTGAGAAACTAGCTAGTAAAAGGATGAGATTGAAAAGACGGAGACAATGGATTCTTTTTTTTTTTTCCTCTCGAGGGCAATAAATGTAGCGATGAGAGATTGAACTTGCTATACCTTTCAAGGAGGAGATGTAGGATCGTAAGATAGTACTGAAGGTGACTGTGTACCAACTTTTCAAATTAAAAAAAATAATTAAAAAGTAACAAGTAATTGTAAAAATTCAACGTAATTTAAATACATAAATTAAAAAAAAAGTATAGAGAAAGAAATTACACAATGAATTTTTACAGTGATTCACAAATTTCTAATCCACCCCATGACTTTTATTGGGTATTTTACTGCTGACTCTCTTGCAGGTGAGAACCAAATTAATCGACCGCTCTTTTTGTAGGCTCAATATTAACCCTATACTGATCTTTTTGTAGGTTTAATATCAAACCTAAATCTATATTTTTCACTAATTAAAGATAAACCCACTATGATCATTTTTATTGATTGATGATCAAACCACTCTCACAATCTCAAGGTAAACCAACACCTTAATACAAAATCTCAAATGACGTTAAATAAGCCATACAAATAAAATACCTCACTAAGGTAGAAACTATACTCTAACGTATCTCTCACAAAAAAAAATACTGACAACTTTTTGTGTAGAGAGAATGAAAAGTTTGAAAGCAAAATAATTGAAGAAGAGAAATATGTCTTTTGCTGGATAATTGGCTAGTAGAAAGATGAATTTGGTGGTTTTAAATAGATCTCGATGATGAAATTTGACCATAAAAAGTTATTAAGAAGGATATTAAAACTAGAGATAAGGAAAATAAAAGGACAAAGTTTGTGGAGATCGGGAGAATTTGTAAATGGAGAGAAATTTGTGGAACTCAAGGGAAATTGAGTAAATAGAGGGAAAATTAAGAAATTATTGATTCTAAGTTTATTTTAACGTGCCACATGGCATTAAATGATTTGTCCACATCATCCACCACATCAATGAAATCTTCGATGCCACGTTACTGCCACATCACCGACATGTCAGCATATTTTGACTATTAGACGTCACATCAGCAAAGTGTCACGTCACCTACCATTTGTTAGCATCAAATTGGTCAAATTATCCACATCACTTGCCACATGTACTTTCTCTTCCTAAATTTGTCATGCTAGCATAATTTAACTGTTAGATGCCACGTTACATGCCATATCAACAAAGTGTCATGTCACCTGCCACATGCTAGCATCAAATTGGTTGAACTGTCTACGTCACTTGACACATGTGCTTATCATCAAAACATATGATGTGACTGAAACTCGTAAAACTAACAAGAGGAAGTGTATTAACGGTTGAGCTATGCTCATGTTGGCAAGAGACGATAGATTTTAATTAGGTCCTTATACTTCTATGCTAACTACGATTTAATGTTTGACAACTCATTATCTTTTTTTTAAAAAAAATTATATGTTTTTACATTTCTCTATATTAATTTTCAAAATTTTCGTTCTTCTTTTTATGGTGTTTACTAAATTCTATTAAATGAAATCAATTTGTGGGACCCACCTAAAACTTTGTAATCATTCCTCAAAAAAGGTGGTGTCATTCATATATTATAACTTCGTAAATCTCATTCTCATTTCTTATTACACATACCCGACACCTTTATAATAATTACTTTATAACTTTTATTATTTTTCCTCCTTTATTAAGAATCATAACTTTTTTAATTAATAGTTTTCACTTTTATTATTATTTTTATTTATACTAATAATAACTATTCATAAAAATCTATACCACTTTTATTAATTGACATAATTTTATTATAAAATATTACAAAACTATATTTAATTATATTTTGTTATTATTAATTAATTTTTAAAAATAGAATTTATTATTACCAAATATTAGGACAATAAAATTTAATAAACGTTTAAAAAATACGTGAATTAAAATGAATCAAAATTGAAGGTTATCCTGACAAAAATTATTCAGCGGAATAATTTATTTTAATTATTGTTTACTAGTTAATATTAAATACATTGTTAAAATTTATTATTATTTTAATTAAAAACAAGTGCAAAATATATTTATAATTAATTAAAGAAGGGCCCAACCGAATAATCGGGCCCAAGTATTTTCCCTTGAAAGAATACTAAAAAAAGAATTAAAAAGTGGTCCCACGAGTGTTTCCCCGGTCGAAGAACTCTCATTATTGGCAATTACCAAAATTGAATAGACATAGCTACGAAAGCAAACTCGAGCTCATGGAATTTATTACAGTACGAGTTTAGAGAAACTGCTTCCTCAAACATGGCGTTTTCTCTGTAATGCCAGGCGTCAGTGGTCCGCCGGAGGCAGAAGAGCAAGAAGAAGAAGAAGAAGAAGAAGAACATCAAGCGCCAACGCGGCCTGCACTACAAATTTGTCTTCTTCCTTCAATCTTCCGATCTGCCAGTTTGTTTTTTGCACAGTTGCATCGTCTCCTTCTGATTTCTTTCTTTAATTCTGCTCTTCTTCGCTTCTGAATTTCTAATCATGACTCCCAAGTGGGGCTTCCCGCCGTCGGTGGCGCCGCGCCCTGCGAGAATGCCGATGGCCGCGAAATGTGAAGGTGTTGGACTCGGAGGCGTTTTCTCCGATGGAAACTGTGGTGGATTCCCCTCGTTTCTTCCCAAGGAGGTCGCCAAAATCAAAGACCCGTTTGCCAGAACCATGGCTCGGAAAATCCAGCGGCTACCGGTAAAATGCGCGCTCTCTCTTTCTTTTTCCTTTTACCTCTTGGTTTCTAGGACGAAATGGACGGTGCATTGATCTCACACCGATGGGTTT